GTTTCTCATCATCGCTCTCTCTCTCTCTCTTTGTCTCTCTAATCTGCTCATTTTGTCCGTCCTACCCTAAATTTACATTTACATCTCACTCATAGCAGATTTAATTGTGTGTGAGCCGCTGTCGCCCCATGTGTCTCTGATTCTCTCTCTGTGTGTGTGCGTGCGTGCGTGTGTCAGCTCAAGTTTACTTCTAAACCTTGTTGAAGGGATTTGTCACAAAGTGCTTCACAGGAAACAAAGGACAATAAAACTGGAGTTGTGTGTTTGTGCGTTCACGTGCTGCTCGGACTGTGAGAGGAGGGGGGAGGGGCGGGGGGAGGAAGAGGAGGGGAGGTAGCGCCTTCTGACTTTTATTGTTATTCCAGTTTTTATTCGTCTCAGATGGCGACTCAATCCCCTGTTCACCACACACTGCCTCCTTTGTTCTCTCTCCCTCTCTCCCTCTCTCGCCCTTTCTCTCTTTTCCTCCTTTCACTTTTTACATTTCTCTCTTTGCTGTCTCACAACTTCTCTTCTGTCTCCATCTTTCTTTCCTCCTCCACATCCTCTCTCTCCTCTGCTTCCTTCCCTTCCTCCCTCTCTCTCTCCGTTAGCGTCGGGCATCGATTGATTTTCATCTTTACGGATTCTCGTCGAGACTCTGATCGTTTTCACTCGTTATTATTTGGTTCAAAAATTAAAGTCATGACATGAAAGACTTCTTTATGGAGAATTAAATTCACAAACCTCAAATGAAGCCAAACATGAAATAAATCACCTGAGATTAAATGTTTAAGTTTCAAATAAATATTTGTAATTTAAGATTCTTTTGTGTGCCTCATAGCCGAGCGGTGATACAGCGACCCCCATTAATGACACATAGTACTCGTTGCAGCCGCCGTGGGTTTCGAATCCGACCTCTGCCCTTTGCTGCATGTCACCCCTCTCCTCCCAACACTTCCTGTCGCTCTTCAGCTATCTGATCAATAAAGACACAAAAAAGCCCCAAAAAAGACTCAAATTTAAGTTCATACATTTTGGAAATTTCTGCCATTTTAAATGAACGATGCATGGCGAGGAAGATTCTGCATCGACGCAGTGACGGAACATAATCCATTAATGAGTACTAACGTTGCTTGCAGACTGTCCAGGCCGATTGTTTATTTTGGTTTACAAAGTAAAGACATTTATGTTTAAGCTGATTTCTGAAGTTCATTCAGAGAGAGAGAGTTCACCGTGGAGCAGGCGCAACATGTTACTCTTTAGGTTAAGTTATATAATGTTGTTCAAGAGTAAAACGTTTTTCTCACCTTCAGTCAGGATCAGGTCCGTCGTGTTTCAGGTCCGACCCTCAGCAGAGAACGACCTGATCCTGACCTCTACGAGTCAGGGATCAGTGTTTAACACTTCACCGACGGTCACCTGAGAGTCGCCTGCTCGCCTCTCAAGACACACGCACGCGCACACACACAGACGCACACACACACGATGGGGAAGCAGTAGCAGTCGAGGAATGTCTCTGAACAAATTTACCTTCCAGATTTGTTTTTCTCTCGTTTTGCTTTTTATATTATTTGCACATGTCAAAGACACACACACACACACACACACACACACCCACACACACACACACACCCGTTTCCCTTCTCCTTGTGCGGTAAAGATCCCCATCTCCACCCCTCTTGACCTTCCACCTCCTCAAAACAGTCAGCACTCGGTTAAACCTGAGCTGTCAAGTACTATAACCTGAGGAGAGCTTCAGCACCACACACACACACACACACACACACACACACACACACACACACACACACACATCAACAGAGAGGGATAGAAACAATGATTATTCTCAGTGCAGTGTCTTGAATCTGAAGATTCGGGTGTACTCTGTTCAATCGTCTACAAGTCACAGACACGTGCAAATACAATCTGCATCACCAATATACACAAACTATCTAGCAGCTATATTCCATGTCAGCTGAAGGTCTGCCGATATTTCTGCCATAGTTTCTTTTATGAGTCCTAAAAATCATTGACCTGAAATCGTACAGTGTTCGCTGACTTAATAGGAGATCTGTCTCTCTTTGCAGAAGTTAAAAAAAGGAGAAACTTTGTGAGTAAGAGAGTGTGAGTAACAGAAGTGATGAGGGCGAGAAGAAGAGGTGCATGAACGTTGGGAAAAAGGGGAGGTATTGAAATGGGGGACGTTGGGGGATTTCAGCCTCCTTTGCAGTTTGTTTTCGTTGGCTGTGGTGTTAATGGGTTAATGTGCTGGGACCAGTCTGAGCCGTCTCACTGGGTCGGATCGCCAGGTCACACTCACAAACACTTTACCTGGAGCTCACGGGTTGGACGACGCCCACAGCGGCCCTCTGACCTGTCCAGATGTGCCTGAATACACGCTGACAAGCTGAAGAGGAAAAAGGACGGAGATGGATAAAGAGAGAGAAAGAAAAGGAGGAGGAGGGATTACTTTGTGTCTTCTTCTGTGTTGTTTGTTGGTCTTAATGGGCCTGGGAGC